CGTCTCTTCCCGCCTGCCGGTTATCTTATGAGGCTTCCTGTGCTTTGCTGTGGACCAGCAATGTGCACACATTCCACCAGAGGGACCCAGGTGGGACACTGGTTGGGTGCTCAGGTCTGACCTAAAGGTCAGCAGTTTGAACCCCCCAGCCACACCACAGGAGAGAGATGAGGCAGTTTGCTTCTCTAAAGATTCACCGCCTTGGAAACCCTATGGGGCCATTGTGCTGTGTCCACGGGACACCATGAGGCAGAATGGACTCAGTGGGAACGAGTTTAGTCTTTTGGTGTCTGTATTCTACCTCTGATCTCATTCGTATCATCCTACGGTGGAACGTAGCTGATATAGAAATACGACGAGTGAGGGACCCTGACTCTTTTTAACATGTGCCCATAAAGCTACCCTCCAACTGGTGACTCCCCTCTCTCCCACCCGCCCCCCCTGCCCCCCCATGAGTTTGCTGACTTCAGCATCAGAGGAAGCTTTGATGTCCCCAGCTAGCTGGATGAGCTGCTTTAACTCTAGCTCAAGTAGACTATAAACTCCTTAGATGCAGGAGCTGGTTTATCCATCTGGGACCAGCACTGTAATTAGTTAAGAGTCTGCTTTGGACTCAGTCAGTTTCTCATTTGAGCATTGATTCCATCACTGGGGAGTGACCTTGTAAAGCGAGGCAAAAATCACCCAATTTCTGTGATTTGCTGTGGAAGTGAAATGTGTGTGTTTACAAAATCTTTGTTCAGTGTTAATAGGAACAGTGGGTTCTAGCCAACCAAGGTTGTGTGGTCTCAGAACCTACCGCCCGTGCAGGCTCCTCATTAAAAGTATAGAAAATGTCGAGACAGTGTTGGCCTTAAAAGAAGGGGTTGGCTTTCATTTTATCTGCATTGTTTGCCTTTTTCCATGTATTAAAAACACATGAAAATAAAAATACATGAAATGACATTGACACCAAGACTGTGGAAGCCCTCCAGAAGATTCAGAAACGGGCTCCCGAATGCAGTCGATGAAGTAAACATAACCCCGACACCCAGACTAGACAGAACACCCCCAGAAAAGAAGGACCATTCTCTCTTACAGAGACGCAGCAGTGCTCAACAAGACACTAGTGAACAGAGTCCAACAGCATAGTACAGAATCATACTCCATGACAGTGAGATCTTGTCCAGGAAGGCAGGCATGGGTCAAGGTAAGAAAATCAATCAACACACCACATCACATCAGTAGAACAAAGGACAAGGACCACGTGATCATCTCTATCAGGACTCTCCATGCCCAGAAAGTGGTCCAGTCTCAGAGCCCCTGGGGGCGGCTCCACCCTGTCCTGCAGGCTTGCTCTGAGCCGGGTTTGGTTGCTTGGTTTGTTTTATGTATACCTAGTGAATAAGTCTGATGAAAAGATACCATCCTGATATACACCTTTCCTGACGTTAAACCACTCAGGATTCCCTTATTCTTTCCCAACAACTGCCTCTCAGTCTACATACAGGTTCTATATGAGAATAATCGAGTGTTCTGGGATTCCTGTTCTTCCCAATGCTATCCATAATTTGTTCTGACCAAAAGAGCCAAATAAAATACTTAAGAATAAAGTTGGGGAACCGATTACAAGGATCTACGTATAGCCTCCTCCCTGGGGGATGGACAGCAGAGAAGAGGGGGGAGATGTCGGACAGTATAACATATGACAAAATAATAATAATTTATGAATTATGGAAGGTTCATGAGAGAGGGGGGAGGGGAGAGGGAGGGGGAAATAAGAACCGAAAATAAAGGCCCAAACAGAAAGCAAAAAGTTTGAGAATGATGAGAGCAGCAAATGTACATATGTGCTTGACACAATGGATGGATGGATGGATTGTGATAAGAATTGTATGAGCCCCCAATAAAATGATTTTTTAAAATATTTTATCAAAAGAATAAAAATATAACACACGCCCCCCCAAAAAAAGAATAAAGCTAATGTGAAGGATTTTTAAAATGAAACTATACAACATTGTTGACTGTGTTCATTCGAGCACTATTCACATTAGCCAGTGGTTGAGAACAACTTAAATGGCCATCATGAGATCAAAGAATCAACACAATGTGGTTCACACTTACAGTGGCCTGGTCAGCCAGTAGGAAAAATCTAGCCTTGTCACATGCTGCAGTGTGAATGCAGCTTAAAGACGTTAACCTGAGTGAAAGCCAGGCCCCAAGGACACATGTTGTGTATAAGAAGACAGAAACTTGTGATGAGAGTTGTATGAGCCCCCAATAAAAGGATTAAAAAAAGAAGAAGAAGGCAGGAACAGGCCGCATACAGAGGCCAAGTTCATTAATGGTAACTAGTGGCAGTGCGGCCGGTGACCACGGGTGGAGAAATCACAGTGATTTGAGGGCAGGGCTGCAGTCAACCACTGTAAAATGTTGAATAGGTGAAAATATATATGGAATTAAAAAGAAATACAACTTTTATAGAGGACACAATGGGACACTGATCCATTTGCTGTATCTTTTGGCTCTTTTAGGGATAGCAAGAGTGTTGAACAGACAACTCCCGATGGCAGCTTTACTCCCACACAGGAGCCCTGGTGGCACAGTGGTTTTGGTTGGGCAGAAAGGTCAGCAGTTCGAAACCACCAACTGCTCCGCGGGAGAAAGACGAGTCTTTTTAAGGCTTAGGAAACTCACGGGCAATGCTTCCCAGACAGTCCTACTCTGTCTCCAGCAGCACGTGGCGATGCGTCACGTCTACTCCGAGGGCTGTGCAGTGTGTTCGGTTAGGTTTCGCGTTTCCGTGGCAACGACGACTTATCGCAAGGCCAGCAGTTCGAGACCGCAGGGCACGCGGAGGCGGCGCCAGTGAGGCAGGGCGCTGGGGCGGGGGCGGGGCCCGGGGC